CGTGCACGAAGGCAGGCGCCGCCGGGAGCGGGCCGCGAGCCGCACGGCCACGCCGGCCTCCCGGGAGGCGCGCGCCCCGCGGAGATGTACGGTAAGGAGGGCCCGGCCCAGCCCGGCCGCGGGCGCCGACTCCGCAAAGTTCCCGGAGAGGACCTTTGTCCCCTCGCGGGGCCCAGCGAGCCGCGCTGTGTGGGGCGGTCGGTGCGCGCGCCGGTGCCGAGGGCACGGAGATGCGGCGGCCGAGGAGCCCGGATCCCGGGTCCGCGGTCCTCGGTCCTGCGCTTGCAGGCGCCCGGCGTGTGCGGCCGGAGGGCGGGGGCCCGGGGAAAGCGGGTCTTGCTCAGAGCCGAGCGGGCCGGGCGCGCCGGTGGAGGTGGCCGCGTGGCCGCGTTTGCGCGGCTAACAAAGCCGCTTGTGCTGAGGAGTTTTCTGCGGGAAGCCACTCGCGCTGCCACCTTCCGCAGGCTTCGGGGAGGTGGCGGGCGGCGCCGCGCGGGGAGTCGTCCCTTGCCCCCCTGGGTGACTTGCCCTCCGCTTGCCCCGGCCGCCCGCCTGTCAGGGGCATCAGGCTCCACAACTTCCAGATCTGCCCTCCGCGGGGGTGAAGGGGGGAGGTGCTGCCCAGAGGGCCCAGCGCTCGCCTCCACCACTATGCAACAGTTCGGCACACCAGCATCTTGGTACAGTGTGCCAGGAATTCCTCGGCTTTGCGGGTAGTGTGGGTGAAGAAGGGAGCGCCTGGGGGCCCACATTGCCTCTCGTTGAGTGGAGCCCTGGAGATGCGGCCAGTCTAGGGGGTACATCACAGAGCCTCCAAGGGGGCAGGGGTGTGTATGTGTGTGTGTGTGTGTGTGTGTGTGTGTGTGTGTGTGTGTGTGTGTTGGACATAACACAACAGAGCCCAGGTCTCTCAACAGCTAGCTATCCTAGGACCAGCAAAAGAATTGGAGCCGTCTTCACCTCCCACTCCCAAGGCAGGGAAGGGGCTCATTCACACCTGAGGGGGAAGAGCACATTCCCAATTTAGGCCATCAGTGAGGCTGCTTGCTGCCTCACTCTGCAGACTGAGTCACAAAGTTCGTGAGAGGCAGAGGAAGCTGGAAGCGTGCTGGGAATGCTCAGCAGTTGGTACCCCTGTTTAGAAGACAGACACTCAACTTGCTTGCCCTGTTCCTAGTACACCTGCTTTCTGAGCTAGGTGGAACCATGGGCAGGCCCCCTCAGTGTTAGGAGTCACTCCTCTGGTGGACCGAGTAGGGGCGGGGTCAACCTCAGCTTATCCAGCTCACCTGTGGGGATGATGCTGCACTTGGGCTTTACAAGCTTGGGAGGTTGCGAGGTTCCCAGAATATACCTGTATTTTCTCTGTCTCTGCCTCTCTCGTTTTCCACGGTTCTTCTCTGCAGAGGGAGCAGCCTGAAGCTGCAGATCATTTGACAAAAGCATGTGACTGCAGGGCACCTGCAGTAGGGAAGCAGTTAGGACAGGCCCGTCAGAATGGTAGGAATTAGGAACTGTTTCTTCCCGGCCACCCATTGCACTAGGCAGGTAATTGCTAACTCATCCATGGTACCTGAGAGTTGAGGGTCCCTGGTACAGCAAATCCAGGGAGAGCTGGAGGGAACAGAAGGGTGAACTGGGAAGCCAACACATCTGGGTGCTATTTTCAGATACACTACAAATTTGCATTTCTCTTTAATAATATGTTTTTACTTCCCCAGATGCAAACAGGGTAGACTTGCCTGGAATGATTCAGAGAAAGATTTTGATGAAAGAGCCCTTTGGGCAGCCGTCTGCAGTGAAGGAGAGTCACACTGGTGTTGGGTGGGAGACCCTCACGCCTGTCGCTCCCTGGCCAAGTCTTCAAGGGCAGCTTGTCTGCCTAGATTTTAGTATCTTCTTGACTCTGTGGAAAGAAAGGGTCCAGGGATACTTACAACCATTCTCTCCCCAGGAGTCAAGATAGTGAAGTAGAAAGATGGGAGTGGGTAGGCTGGGAGTGCGGACTCCTCACAGATTTCCTGCAATTGTTCTTTCTTTTATTTTCCAAGAGATTTCTCCAAGGCCACACAGTTTGCTGGTGTAAGGTGAGGTGAAAACTAGGGTCTCCCAGCTCACACCTTTTCCCTCTCTCCCCCTCTTTTCTCTGAATTCCAAGTAAAGGCGCATTGGGAAAGTGCTACCAGGAGTTTTATTTGTTTATTTGGTACCAGGGATTGAACTCAGGACTTTGCGCTTGCCAGGCAGGCATAGCCCTACTAGTTTTACTAACCAATGAGTAGTGAGAACCCATGTGGAAGCAGAAGTTGCCTAGGAGCTGTAGGTAAAGGTGACATTTGACCACCCATTTTACTGACTTAAATCCATGTCCTTTAACACTGTCTTCAGCTCTGGCCATGTCTTCAGAGCCCCATCTTCTCCCCTCTGCACTCACCTTTGCCCCCCACACCTCACTCTTTCTGGAGTGAGTCTTCCGTCTCCTTTGGGTTCCTGTCTTCGCTGCAGGGTACAGGGCTGTCTGAGACAGAAGGAATCCTAGCTCATCTCAGTCCAAGAGCCAGTTCACAGCTGGGTGGCCTTATGCACATGGAGCTGTTTCTCAGAATTACATCTTTGTAAAAAATGGTGGCTAGTGCCCATCTACCTCCCAGGTCTGTTGAGCGCCTCACTGTGGGGCAGTTACCTCTTTGTGTCATTCTCTGCCAGCTCCTGCACGCGCCTGTCTGCACCACTTGCCGTGGACACACAGATTGCCTCGACCTTGCTAGCTAGCTGTACGCTACTGGACTGCTTCTCTCTTTCCCTTCCCCCACCAGACCCTCCCCAAAGACTCCCTTTGGGTCCACTCCTTGACCAAGTCACTTTCCAAAAATGGCTCTCCAAATGGACACAAGTGACTTCCACAGTCTTGTTTATCCTTAGGAACATGGGTTGACAAGGGACATGGACAGATAGATGCGCTTTGTACTGCGATGGGAAGGCCATGGACGGGTTCTCTGCAGAAACAAATTAACGAGGGTTTCTCTTTTTGTTGGAGTTGCATACCTGGTCTTTCCCCATTCCTCTCACCTGAGCCCAGGCCGTGGCTGTCCTGCCTGGGAGCATCCCACTTACTTGGGAGGCGAGACAGGGCCCTCTGAGAAATGCTTCCCCCAGACTGAGGGCAGCCAGCGTGAAGACCACCTGAGGATCCCCCCACACACACACACACACATACTTTGTACCCACTCCCACTAAATCCAAAGCTGCTCTGACTGATTCCTCTACTCCTCAAGTGCTTTGTGCCTCTTGTCCTGAAAGTGCTCACTGTAGGGCAATACCTTGGTGCGCAACCCTGGGAAACGTGCTTGGTGGAGAATCCTGGGTGGCCTGGGCACCTGTTGTGAAAGGAACAGGGAAACTAGGGCTGGGCCGACTCCTCCTGAGGTGCAGAGACTCATTTTTGCAGAAGCCTCCGTGACACTGCTGCCCTGCATCACAGGTGACCCTGTCAGTATAAAACACGCACACGGACACTCACGCACAGCTCCCTGTGCACGTGCATGCTCTGGGCTCCTCTCCCGAGTCGTGAGCCTTCTGCATCCCAGGGTGGATGGCTGCTGCACGTAGGCGCTGTTGGCCCCTGCCCTCCTAGGCCCCATTCCTTCACTCCCCTTAGGAGGGGCCGAGTAGGTGGAGCCGAGGTTTTTTCTCCTGTTCATAGTTCAGTGATTCAGCTGGTCTTCTCACCTTGCACATACATAAAAATAAGAAGTTAATAGCACTTTTTAGAAAACCTGGAAAAGAGAGGAGAAGAAAATCCCTCAGGTCTTACTCATTAAAACCCACCGTTGGGGTTGGGTGTGTAACTCGGTAGCGTGGCCATGGGTTTGAACCCCAGCACCACAAAACAAACACAGCAATGACAACAAAACACCATCTGTATAGTGCGGTGTAAGTTGCCATGGTGACTGCAGCTCACCTCCTTTTGCCCTTTGCGTTCTCTCCCTCTGCCGATCCTGCCTGCGTTGCCCTTGCCTGACGCGTCATGGTGAAGGCCTGAAAGCTCCCACTCTGGGCCTGAACCCCACATTGTCCCCTCAGGTGACCTTGGACCTGAGCTTTTCTGAACTTCCTTCCTAGCTTTAAAATAGTGGCAACTCCTCACGGGAGAGGTTAATCAGGATGAGAGCAGCCCCCTTTCCTTCTCTTTTCTTCAGCCCTTTTATTTTCTGCTTCCTAATTTTTAAAAAAGGCAAAAATCAAATGAGCAAAAACTTATGTCCCATAGTTTAAGAACAGTGCTTGTGATTTTTTACTTATGTCAGATAAAAGAAACTGATATAAAGAATGACTGTTTTTTTTTCTGATAATAAGCCAGTTCTAGAAAATTAAATATACAGCAAGCTGTGAAATATTATTTTGATCTTTCCTTCTACGTATTTGTTTGTGTGGTTGGAACTATTCATTTTATTCAATTTTGTATTCTGGGTTTTTTTTCATGTAGCATTAGGATGTAAGTACCTTCCTCATTCCAAGTTACTAAAAATTTGCTGGTTGCTATTTAAAATATATATTTATTTAGGACTGGGTAGAATATGTGCTTTGGTCCTATGTTAGTTAGCGTTCTGTTGCTGTAACAAATCCCTCAGACGAATCCACTTAAGAATAGGTTTATTTTGGCTCATAGTTTCAGAGGTGCAGTCACCCTGTTGGTTTTGGGCCTGTGGTGAAGGCAGCACATCGTGGCGGAGCAAGTGGTGGATGGTGCTGCTCACCTCATGTGGCTGGGTACTAAAAAGTGG